AGATATTTGAGATCCACAAGCATTTGATCAACGAATTGAACGCCAAAGACATCGAAAACAAGGAAATGTTGGATGAGATGCGCAAAGAGTTGGCCTTCAATTCGGAGTCTCTTCGTCGGGAACAGAGACGCGAATACGACAATGATTTGGAGATAATGTCTATGAACCGCAAAGTATCGGCACTCGAACACCAATTGGCCGATAGTAAGGACCAGTTGGACGCACACAACCGTATGGTTGCGCCACTCGAACAACAAGTGTCGGACACCAAAGAGCTATTGGAGGCCAGGAGTCAAAAGGTTATATCACTTGAGCAACAATTGTCCGAAACCCGTGACCTATTAGAAGCTCAAAGCCGTAAAGTATCGCCACTCGAACAGCAATTATCAGACAATCGAGACCTTCTGGAGGTCCAGAATCGTAAGGTGTTGTCACTCGAGAATCAATTATCTAAAACCGAAGACCTATTGGAGGCACAGAATCGCAAGATATTGTCACTCGAGGAAGAGTTGTCGGACACCAAAGACATGATAGACAGCGATACGAGTGATACAGAAAAATATCGACAATTGGCTGATGAAAGGCAGGAACTGTTGAACGAATTGAATCTAACCAACAATGGCTTAACACAAGACTTGTCGAAAGCTAACGAAATCATTAGGAAATTGCAGACAGAGATGCAGTCAACACATCAAAAGCTACTGCTTTTAAATAAAGTGAGTCTTGAAATAGTTATTTGGTTTTCAATTAATAATTAAATATTTGTATGTATTTTAAGGTGACTATTAGGAAATTGCAGACAGAGATGCAGTCAACACATCAAAAGCTACTGCTTTTAAATAAAGTGAGTCTTGAAATAGTTATTTGGTTTTCAATTAATAATTAAATATTTGTATGTATTTTAAGGTGACGTCAAAACAAGAGGAGACGGTAGACCTGCACCACAACGCCGTACAGAAGTTGGACTCGGATTTGCGCCACTGTTCCCAACAGTTGAAGGCCAGAGATAAAGAGTACCAAACATTACGCAAAGACTTTGATGCGCTGAAAGGCAAATGTAGTGAAACGGAGGCCCAGTTGACGGCCAATCAGAATATCATATCGTATTTAAATCAACAATTGAGTGAATTGCAGGCAAAACACGGAATCAAATCTATAGATGTGTCAAAAATAGCCACTCAATCATCACAGAAGTCAACGCATCCCAAAGTTATCGCTCAAAGAAATGCTGTCTTTGTTAATAAGTCCACAAAAAATGATAATCTCTTCAGAAGATAATTAATAATTACTAACTAATAGCTGTGTCTTAGAGAGAGAGAGAGAGAGAGAGAGAGAGAGACTGTTGTTCAATGTATTTTACTTGTATTTATGATCAATAAATTTTAAGTTTATTTCAATCAAACAATGCATTTATTATAAGTGTTGTTGCAATTGAATTGGACGGTAAATGAAGTATACTAAGTGGCCGTACTTTAACTTTATCCACGAAGTGTTGCGTCGGGAAGTGTTGGTACTCTTAAAATATATACAACACTTCCATCCGGCGCCCAACACTCGGTTCAACTCCTTAATTACATCCCGTCTCATTGTGGCCACAGAATAACCGCTGCGAACGCGCGCCACAATTGCTACCACTTGTTGTCTCTGTTCTTGTGTCAAATTTGAAGCGATGATCTCCGGATTGCCCGCATTGTTGTTGCCTTGCCTTTGGTTTTGTCCTCTCCTCTCATTTCTCTGCAATGTTTATAATTACAATTATATCGTCACAAAATTTATAGACGGTAAATAAATAGTGTTGAGCGCTGGCGAAGGCACTGGTGTTTACTAAATCACTTGCCTGTGCAGAGAGTGTCCGGTTCTCATCGATCAGTGCTGTAACGCAATTACGAGCGGACTTTCGGACGCATTGGCTTTTCCAACACTCCTGACAAACACCGTCTCTATGCGGACACGAGCGCGAGTGCGACCCCAACCGATCCAATGTCAGCACTTCTTGACAGCCTCTCTCCTTGTGATTACAAACGATTCGCAACTTCTTCAATCGATTATTCAATATTCTGTGCCACAAAAATAGAGGCATAAATCTATTAACTAAAGCATTTGATATCATTGAATATAGATATAAGGAGTTTACTAACAGAGACGGGCGTGACAGGCGTGCGGACGCATTGCCCCTCATCTGGTGTCGACAAACGGGACAAAGTGGACTTCGTTTAAACCACTCAGTGATGCAATGATTGCAAAAAGTCTGTTGACAACACTGGATAACTCTCGGCTCCAGAAGAATATTCTTACAGATAGCACACGACAACTCGTGCTCATCTTCTTGGGTCAGACCCACAAACCGGTCGGAGTCATAGCCGGCCATTGGATTCACTTACTCCTATTGTCAATTGTTTTCGAGAGTTAGGGTTAAAAGTATACGATATTAGCGCAGACTTGATATTACAATATAAGTATCTTTCAAATTGAATCACAATTTTATCACCGCTTCTTTCTGGTGATGGATCTGTCTTCGGGTTCGCGGCCTTTGCAAACGGTTCGCCTGTTTTGCAATTGGCGTCACATATAATGTTGAATGCAATTTAAATATCACTCACTCGACAACAATATAGCAAACGATTAATTGAGTCAACAATTAACGCATAACTGGTTAATTAATTTAATTATATCTCGTTCTGTAGTATAGAAATTAGTGCTGATTTTTGAAATCTATAATCTGATTGTTATAATCCGTTATCATTGAAATAGTGGTTATGTTATAGTTTATGAATCATAAATTATGATCTGTTAAACACAAAGAAGTGAAATGAGTTTTATTAATAGATTGATTCCCATTAAGAAGAACAATGAAGAGAAGCGTAAGCGAGTGATGGAGTTTAGGTCCCGACCACTACCGCCAGGCATCACAAGAAAACCGGTCGCAGAACAGAATAAGCTGTTCAAAGAAGTGTCGGAAATATTGATCAAAAAGCAGATCGAAGTGATCGATGAGATCGGTTCGGGCGCCTACTCTTCGGTGTACTTCGGCCTAAATCTCGAACAATTCAAACAAAACGCCATTAAAGTGATTGATCTGAAGAAGGCGTCCGACAACTATCGGCTCAAGTTCTTGAGGAAAGAGATTACAGTAATGCAAAAAGTCAAACACGAAAACATCGTTAAGATTTACGATTTGACGCAAACGGATATGAAAATACTGATTGTCATGGAGTACGCCGTGTGGGGCTCTCTCGGCGATTGGCTCAAAGCCAACGGTCCGTTCGCGGAGCCCGACTGTAAGCGTGTGTTCAAGTCTATCGTCGAGGGTCTCCGGTATATGCATTCAGTAAACTTCGCGCACAGGGATATCAAAACAGATAACGTACTGTTGGCCAAGAATTTTGTGCCAAA